TTGGGAAGAACACAGGAAGAGTTTCTGACCCAGGTTAGAGGGGATGTCAGTGACAATTTTTCAGAAGATTTTTCTTCTAAACTGAGACCTTAAAGATGACTGGGAGTTAACACGATGAAGGAGAAGAAAAAGAAGGGGATCCTCTAAGCTAGGGAGATTTAGGATATTCAGGGAACAGAGTTTAGTGTGTCCGACTTTAGTGTGTGAGGGGCAGATGGTAAGATACAAGTTTGGAGAGAAAAGTATATAAATCACAGGAGATTATAAGACAGGCAACTCTGTGAGTTGTAAGAAGCGATTGAAAATGTATGCAGTGGTGTTGAACTGGCTTTTCTATTGACTCGTGAGAGCTGATTTTAAAATTTCAGGGAGTACAAGTCAACATAATTTCGATAGCTTGACGTTGGTGGTGGTGGGAGTATTTATACCACAGAGATTGGCAAAAGCCTTAATTCGTATTCCTACTCCACCCTCCAACCTTAGAAAGCCAGTTGTTAAAAACCATCACATCACTGCATAAGTATGGACAGGCCACGTGCTTATTTGAAATTTAGAAATATTATTGTAGGTGCAATGTAGAGTATATCGGAGGAGTAAATGGAGGGAAGAAAGTTGGTTAGGAGTCTGATCTAGTAAACCAAGCAACCTACAGAGGGATACAGACTTCGGTAGAAGGAAAGGTGTTTATAGTAACATTTGTATCATTTTTTAATTACGTAATTCTACTTTTATCCTCCTATTATGTTATGAATAATTATTTCTTTGTGTTTTTCCAAAGATATCTGCTAACAGATCTCGATGAAAACATATCGGCAGCCCAAAATGAATGTTGTGATTGCCTCCCCAGTATCCATTCTACCCTAGGTTGATGGTACCCTTAAGATTTCGGTGGCGTGACCTTCACCCTGGACTCCAGGGTTACACTATGACTCATCTAAATCCATCAGGACAATTCCATTCACGATTGTGTTAGCCCTCGAAATCCCCCTGGATCGGCACTTGATTCAGTGTGGAGCCATCATTAAGCAGAAGGCGTTTTTGACAAATGTGAAATAATGACCTTCCCCATCATATTTGTGAATTGAGATACAGCTATAACTAGTAGCCATTAGTGGCCACGACAAAAAACAACCTAAGAAGGCAATGTAAGAGAATTTCAGAAGTAGAAGTTAAACTCTAACCATACCTGAAATTTAATCTGTATCTGGAATTGATAGTCTTATGAACACATACATTTTGTTTTTATTATTTAAACAATATTTGTTGCAAATTCCTTGTCTCATTCTGGTTTTATTTTGATTTTTCTTGTTAACTCTTGTTATGATTCTATCCGATAATGCTGTCATAATCATATTTATTCACTTTTCATCAGTTTATGCATTTCTTATTTTGTTCAAGAAAACCTTTCTTACCTCAAGGCCATAGAGACATTTTCATACCTTTTCTTGTTGAAGTCATAAAGTTTTTCATTTTATATTGTGAGCTTTAACACATCTGCAATTTACTTTTTCTATAGAGAGTAACATTGCTGTTTCCATCATCATCATCATCATCATTATCATCTGCCTTTTGGAAAGACAGTAATTCCAAAACTTTTCATTGAAAGAGAGTGTGTGGAGTTATTATTGTAAATATTCAATGAGAAACAAGGAAACCCAGACCAATGTTGAACATGTTTTTTAGTGTCAATTATTTGTTAACTATTTTGTAATATTTTTAGATTTATAGGAGAGTTATAAAGCTTGTATAGGTGTAAAAAAGAAAATGTTCAGAAGAGTAAAGTCTCAAAAACTAGAATGTCTCCTAGCTACCTTTTCTCAGAGTGTTTTTAGAGAATATGTTCTACCAATGTGAAATGGTACACTAAAAAAGAGAAAAACATGGAATCAATGAAATAGGGAATCCAATATAAAACAGGACAATGGGAAGTCCTAGGATGATAGCCGTGTAGCATAGTTAGAGGCAACAGTTTAGACCGAAATGTGAAGTGAGACAGATGACTCTAGAAAAACTATGTAATACATCATACTCCAGGGTAAGCAGTGCAAAAAAGGATTAATCGGCAATTTATACAACACTCGTAAGGGATTGGACGATAAAATTATGTTTTCAAAACTAAGCCAATAAAAAATAGGAAATTATTAAAAGTTTTGGAGTAATACTGAAAACAGTAAAAGTGAATGAGAGCTAACATTTAGATATAATTAGGAGGATGGTGGAAAAGAACGGGATAAAGAAAACCAAAACGCCCATCATCTGTAACAGGGATGGGACAGTCGATGTCCGTGCCTTGCCTATAATTCTGGGTGTCTCAGAATTTTCCCCATGGAGCAGATGTTCTTGGTCACAAGAAAACAAATATATTTCACACCTCTAATTTTTCTCTGTGAGAAGTGTCATATTGGGAGGTACAGGTGGTGTGAGCAGATAAAGAATTAACAGGTGCTGGACCTTGGGTTATGTGGCCCAGAGGCTACAATGGCAGATAAACTCCAATTTCAGAAAAGATTCAAAGAGATTTTAAGCCCTTCGATAGTCTGTATAAACTGTATTTCTGAAGTCATGCAAATGAAGAGACAAAAGTTTTCTCTTCAAGTTTAATCTCAGTGATAGGCTTTTTAGAACTAGCCATCTTGTTCTGTGAATGATGTTTTTTCATTTCCTTAATTTTTGTAACCAAATTTCCTGTGCTAGGAGCTTGGTATCAGGCTGTCTCTTGGCGAGAGAGAGACAGAGACAGAGACAGAGACAGAGAGACAGATTCCTTGAGGAGTATCAGAAAATATCCCTTCATAGATAGCACACTGTCAATGTGTAACATGAAAATTCATGCGTATTTATTTTAAGTAATTCGAGCATTCAGTTTGAGAAACCAATTGTTCAGGTGAAATCTAAAAGCAAATTGTTTTTGAGTTTGGAGAAATCTATCAACTGTGTAACAGGGAAGAAACTTTGCTTGTCAAGGAGGAAGACAGATGGGATGGGGGGGCGGGTGGAGAAAAGAGAAGTACATACGCGTCGCCAGTGGAGGAAACACATGTGGTGAGGGAGAAGTGTTAGTTCAATTATCTCTTCCTTTCAGGCAGACCCATGATTAAAACTCATCTTGATAATTTTGCCACCACCAAAAACAAAGTCGTTCTGTCATACGTTTCAGTATTTGCTATTGTGAAAGATGAAAGAGCTTGGCTATAAGGACACACGGTGTGGGCACAGAAGATGATGCGCATCTCAGAAGGGGGTAAAAAGGAGAGGCTGGTGAAACTGGCATCATCATCATTATCATCTGGTCAACAACTTGTAGGTCATAATACGTCTCGGTTTCTGGTTCGCAACAAGGAACTGTTGAAAATTCTCGCAAAATAGTATCGTGTCCAAATGCCAAAGACCATCTTCCATCTGTTTCCGATCTAAACTGCACACATAGTAGACTATTCTATACTCCCAGAAAACACCGTAAACAGGCATTTCTCCAGGTCCTTTCCCTGCAGAGGCAGTGTAATTTCCCTGAGGGACGAGCAAGGAAATGAAATCTCCTGAGGCTATGATTTTAAGTCCTGACTCATATGTTCCTTTCCTTGGAAATATCTTCTTTGAATTCTACATACCCCTTATCAGGGAGAATTGATATATCCTCTCATGTTCCACCAGCCTCTGATATATCTGTAATATTATACCATTTATCCTGGTTCTACTCTGCTGGATCATGAGCTGGACAAGGGCCGGGACCATGGTGTTCATCTTTGCATGCTCGGTGACACCAGCAGTGCCTGATGGTACGTTAAATCATTTTTGGATGAATGCATAAGCAAATGAGGTTTATTTCTTAATTATGATAACACGTTGGTTAGGTCCATCAATTCTTGAAGATACAGTGGGAAGGCGGCATGTGGATTGATAAATTTCTGTTATGAAAGGTATGCTGATATATTTTTTAGTGTTCTCTGCTCATACAATTATCTTAGTTTCCTGGAGAATGGGGAGAGACTTTATGGCATCTTAGAGAATCCAGATGATTAGAGGTACAATTTGTGGGATCTTACAGTTTAACAAAGAGCCCTTCGAGGTCATATCTATAATTAAACTGAAATAAAAGTGTTCCAGATCTGTGAATCTCACCTGTATATTCACTTTGCTCTGCTCCAGCGAGCTGTGCAATTAGAACGAACATCTTAGTTTAGCTCTAACCCTAACTAAGGCATACTGTTCAGTCTAATGCTACTGAGAGCTACTCACAGGATATGTCATCAAGTTCATGCCCCTTGGTGTTTCCACTACCCCATCTTTGCCATCACAAAAAGTAAAGCAGCAGACAATCTAATGTTTTAGCAGACAACAGAGTATTTAGTGTGAAAACTCCTTAGCTTTCACATTCTATCGGAAATGGTTCACAGCAGTCAGAACTCTGCCTATCCAGTTTCTGAGATCATCTGCTGCAGCCATACAAATAGTATCCGAAAGTGAGTATAGAAAGACAGTAAATATATTGAAATCAGAGACGAATTTAGAGATTCAGAGACTAAGACACACTTCTACTTGCAGACAGTGCTTCAGCCTTAGATTTATGTGTGAAGCCAAATATGCCTTAAACTGGGAAGACAGATTTTTCAAATATGCAATTGGAGAACTTTCTGTTGTAGAAATGGCTAAACTGGGACGTGAGTAAGGAAAGCCCCAGAAAAGAAGAGCATCTCTTTCCGTTCTGCAGCTTTTTCTCACCTTCTCAATCTCCACTAAACTTTCATTTCTAGGTCTGTAAACCCTGCAGGTCTCAGGCAGAATTATTCTCCAGGAATCTCAAATTTCTTCAGTTCACACTCATCCCTATTCAGTAGACTACTCGATTTTGCTCTTCATTATTACAAGAAAAACCCTGCTGATCTTAATCGGCCAGTAAACTTATCTGTCTGACAAATGTCTTAAGTATGAAGATAGTCATCAAAGTCATGAGCCAATCCATCTTAACTGCCCACCAGAACACATCCTGAGAGGAAGCCCACCAAGGCTTGTTGTTGACACTGTTCTTCATTAATTGCTCCATTAAGGAAAAAAAATGGACACAGTACATAGAAGCAGAGCAGAGCTTGCTCTCCCAAACCCACAAGAGTCTCCCAGGTAAGCACAGGCTATTATTATTATTTTTTTATTCCTAATTACTTAGTGAGCCAGAGATGGTCACAGTGGTGGAGAGATGTCAATTTGTGGACCCGGTCATGGACCTATCTGTTTTAATTAAAATATTGAATATAAGGAAGCTATTTGCTCTACTTCCCCAGTAGTTCTCTCTGGTTGATGGGGAGGTTTTTACTCAGCTTGTGAACTGGGACTCACTTAAGTTTTCTAACTAAAGAGGCTCGTATTCTGAGTTTGAGACAGAGTTTGTACTATCAAGATAGATCTCTTGACTCTGTGTCTGGTGGGTGTTAAGGGACAGAAGCTTTTTAAAATGGTCTGAGATCCTTCCTGGTTAGTCTTTGTGAGTCTCAAGCTGTGGGGCCCTGCCTCACTGTGTAGAGGAGACATTCACGGAGCGAAAGCCGATAGAGGTGGATGATTTAGTTTTCCTTTGAATACCAAAAATGAACACGTGCTAAGATTTCCCTTTTCAAGCTTGTAGGAGAGGCTGAAGACAGAGCTTTAGGAATCAATATTGGATTGAATATCATTGCAAAATGTTAAATATACTCCAAATCTGTAGAAGGCACAGTATTTCTAGTTAACTTCTTCTGAGAATGAAAACAGGAATAGAGATTTAACTAAGCCTTCAAAACCATTCCTTCGTGTACAAGATGTTGGGTGTGTCACTGACAAAATATATTTAGATGCATTTCTATATTAAAAAGCCTGAGAGATGCCAAAGTAAATGTGTTTGATTATTTTTATTTTCACTCTTCAGTTTAGATTAATGGAAAAGAATTTGGATTGATTCTTGGATTAATCCTGGAATAAGAATAAGAAGATTTGGCACAGATTTTGTTCCATTTTATTTCCTCTAGTCACTGATCAAATAGTGGTCTTGGCCAATTACTGGGACTTTCTGAGCCTGTGTTTTTCATTTATCGCAATGAAGATTTTAATTGCAGGATTGTTTTGGAAAAAATAAAGCATCAAAGGTCCCCTTTCTGTGAGTTCAGGACTTTGCACAGGAAGTTAGAGAATTTTCTCATGACTGAATTTCTGTTTAAACTTCACAGTGAGCCCGGAATTGAACTTTCTGAAGTACCTTTCCGTGACGACACCCAGCTGGGGAGGACTGCACGATCCCCACCACGCCAGACATGGCTGACATTTTTGAAGAAGGAGCTGGAATTTCTTGGGGTGAGTGAGCCTTCTCCAACCTCAATTAAAGTAAGGAGTGGCTCTAGGAAAGAGTATTTAGTTGCATCAACAGCTTTCCCACTTGGATTCATGAGGAGTCAAGAACCCCGTAGATGAAGCGTTGACAATAACTGGGCCTTGATGGGTAGACAGAAGCATTTTCTCATGAAGACTAGGATAAGACTGGCAAATAGGACCTGCCAACTCTGGTCAGTTGTGGGTGGATTAAGGTAATACTTTGCCATGAAGGATTATAATCTTTATCTTCACTTAGATGGAAAGGGCAATTATTGATGTCCACTGTGACTACATCAGTAAGTCACTTGAGAAATGGATTGGCCATTTCTGCATTAGGCCATGCCTGTAGCAATTCTTAGAGTGGCCAGAGGATACTGGAAAATATTGTATTTGAATCCTTTTTTAGAACTGCTTAACATACCAAAGCAATTTCTCATGTTTGGCCTCAATTATGAGGAAATTGATGCAACTTTGGAAAAACATCTTTTTATTCCACAAGAGTTATGCATTTTCCTACAGGTAACACAAATTCTGATTGCTTTGATATGTCTTTGTTTTGGAATAATTGTCTACTCCATGCTCAAGATTTCAGAATTTGAAAAAGAATTTTTTTCATCATTTAAAGCAGGCTACCCATTCTGGGGAGCAGTATTTGTGAGTATCTATTTACAATTGTCTCTAAAATAACACTGCACATAGCCTTTCTCTTACCCCGATCAGATCTAACCAATTATTTATCTCTAGTATTCAGATTATATATATAATTATATTTATGTTATATATATTTATACATAAATACTTATATAAAATATATTTGCAGTTTATAAAACACTTTGGGTTAAACGTGCTAGCATACTTTTATCAGATGAGAACCCTGAGGTTAATAAAAGCTAAATGAATTGCTCAAGGGACATTTAGCCAATAAAAATAGAACTTAAACTTTCAGAAAAATGTCCTTAAAACTATTCATCGATAAAGTTATTTTAGTGAAAGGAGGATAAAGAGACTGCTGTAGATAAACTCCTACCATGCCCTAGAAACCATTTCGGGTGCTTTCTTATTATATCTCTTTTAATTATTGTACTGTTTAGAAACTAGATGACTGACTGACTGAGGTTACGAAAATACATAGCTCTATCGAGGAATAATTGACATATGCTAAATTGCACATAGTTAAGGTGTGCAATTTGACCAATTTTGACACATGTACGCACACGTGAAAACATTACATTAATATAATGAACATACTCAGCATCTCCAAAAGTTTCCTTGGTAATCCCTCCTTACCATTATTCCCTGTCTTCCCATCCTTAAGCAGTCACCAGTCTGCCCTCTGTCACTATAGATTAGTTTGTGTAACCTGTTCTCTATCACTATAGATTAGTGTGCGTTTTCTAGAGTTTCTAGAGTTCCTTCACACAGCATAATTACTTTCAATTAATTCACATTATTTTTTGTACCTACACAGGATATATTTTAACTCTAAAAAAATATGACACTGGTTTGGCACTCTGCCAAATACTTAGGACTTGATCATTTGTTCGGAATACTCCTTGAACCTCAGCCATATTTTATTTGAAGGTTCTCTGTATTTTCATTCTACACATTTAGCTTGTTAATGTCTCTCAACCCATCATACAATCTGATTCTTGGATTTTTTTTGAATTCATAATTCCTATATGTCTACATGATATATGTTGGACTCTAGAGATATACATGCCACAAACACATTTCTTGTTCAGAAAAGAAGACAGTCTAACACACAGTATGCTCACACAAACAAATAAAAAGCAATACAATGACAATGAGAGTATTGTTAGAACAGAGTCACACGTCGGGTGCCGTTGGACCTTGCTACTCTGAAAGTGACCTGAGGCCTGTCAGAGTCGACATCACCTGGGGAGCCTGGGAGAAAGAAAGAATCTCAAGCCCCATCCAGGACCGACTGAATCAGAATCTGCATTTTCACAAGATTCTCACATGAGTCATATGTACATTTAATTTCGAGAAACCCTATAGGAAATGAGAAAATAGTGAGCCTCATGGGGAACAGAAAAGATAGCTTTATAGAGCACCCACAACTTTACCTTGTATTTGAAGGAGGTGGGTGAAAGGGACAAAGAGAAGAGCAGAGACTCACTGTGCCTCCCCCTCCCCCTTTGGACAGTTCGCGATTTCTGGATTTTTGTCAATTATGTCTGAAAAGAATCATGCAGCATATCTGGTGAGTTGCAATTCTTTGTTCATCCTTGAGAAGGTAAGAAAAATTGAATTTTAGGAGTCTTCAGGGAGACATGTCATCATCTCTTATGTTATGGAATAATGAGGATATGTGATTTTTTCCCCCAATCTATTTTATGTTGGATGTAATCGTTGAAATACCCATTGTGTCATCTAAAAACAATAATGCGTAATTACCTTGACATGTGACTTGTTTTCAGTTAAGGAGAATATTGGAGGAGAGACTAGGTATGTCTGTGTGGGTCTTTCTGAATGCAATCCCAGCAAGAAAGTTATAGATTCTTATTAAACGACTGTGTTTTCAAGATTTCCCTTTTTAATCTCTATTTCGAATAAACATAGAGTTAACTAGATACGTCCAGCCCTGAAATGCCGATGGGTTAATTGAATGCACTGGCAGATACGGGACCTGGTGTTCTTTATCACCAGGTGCAAGGCACCCTGGGAGCAAACTTGGTCAGCAGCATAGCCGCGGGAGCAGGAATCATTATCTTGATCGCCAACCTAAAGAACAGCTTGGCTTATATCTCCTTTTGCCAGGAAGCTTCTGTGGATGACTTCTGCTTAGCGGTTTTTTTTGCCACTGTACGTATTTCTCGTGGGAAGACAAAGATTCTGGGCCCCAATCTAAGAAAGAAGCCCTCATTTCCTTTTCCATAAATACGATCCTTTCTCGCGACCTCTATCCTATAATGTGGTATTCTGTAGGTTCATGCACAGAGATGCTGGCTGCCTTCCCCCCCCGACGCCAGTCCCCAGATGACTTCTGCAGGTTGGAGTCATCTGCCTTGAGCAACCATCTCCTGGTTTTCCCACGCATGTGTGTCAGTTTATAGGTTCCGATCGTGTGGTGGGGGATAATGAAAACAGGGGCTGCTCTAAGGGAACGCACCTTGGGGACACCTACCTTGTGATTCTGTTTTTTTTGGTTGTCGCTGGTTGTTGTTCAACAGAAAATTGTGGCGATGATCCTGTTTCTTACCATTCTGGGGTTTGGTGTTGCTGTGGCACTCACAGTCTACAGAGTTGGAGAGTTATTCAAAAGAGATAAGGTAGGCCAAGACCTGATACCAAATCCAGAATGACAGGCTAAAGAACTTGAGTTTAATCACTTAAACATATGGCCTAGATTTCCTAGGACACTTCTTCCAGAAAATTATTTCTCCAAGTTTCAGTCTTTTGGTCTCCAAACCTCATGTTTTAAATCACATTTTCCACCCATAAATAGGATAAATACTGCAGGCTCTCCCTGTGACTGAAGGTTGGGAAAATATGACCTTTATCATGTTAGAAAATGCAGATGCTTTGAAATGTGTTGGGCATGAGATGAACGTGCAGGTAGCATATGATGGGACCCCTCAGATGTGTGGGTTTATTTTCTGTCTCAGAGCAGTTCTCTTCTCTTTGTTCCTGTTCTCTCTTTTTTCTCTTGATTTTCACATTCCCATTTGCTCTGAAGCTTTAATTTTCTTTCCTCCCTAATTCCCAACTGGCACCTGTGTTTCCACTTGCCTTACCCACCCATCACTCCTTTGATGCATGAAGAAGAATCGCCAATATCTGATGTGCATACACGTACTCAGACCTTCCAGAGGAAGCACATTCTCTCCATCTGTGCACTTGCCTGAAGTATTCAGGTCTCACTACCTATTTTGATTACTTTTCTCCAAAGACAAATAAGACAGCAGATATACCAAAGCCCAGACACACTCGCTAACTTGTCGTTGACCAACATAATTTCTTTTGGGCCCACTCGGACAGCCAATCTGGCTTGGTTTGTTGGAAATGGAAGAAATAATTAGAGGGTAATGGGAGAGAATATGATATTCAGAAAGACAAAAGCAGATGATATATGTCTCTTGAACAAATCTTCTAGGGGTGAAAAATTCTTGGTGATTGATTTTGAATAATTTTTCCCTCATCAGATTCCAGAAGATTATCTTTATGAAGAATTAAACATATATGCACCGATTTACAGCGAGTTGGAAGAAAAAAGGGAGATATCGCCTCCCACGGATACATAAGAATCATGGGTTCAGAACATTCTCATTACCAGCAAAGGGTCTAGAAAGCCAAGATCTTTGTTTAAGAGGCTACTGGCAAAATTTCAGTTCTCTCTATGATCTGCCTGTTTTACGTTGTGACTCACTCTCTGGATGGCAAAACTCTGTTTCTGTCGTTTCTATAGACCTAAATCCTCCCCCTCCCCTCATTCATAGATATGATAGACTCCTATTTTTCTTGTTTTCTATTGCTGTTTCACACCCATCTCTTCTGGGAAGTCAACATGTAATCAGCATTTACTGTGTGCCTATAACTGCCAATAGGAAAAACAAGAGGAAGCCTGGTTGAGAGTGGAGTTAAACTTTAACAGTTTGATAATATTTGGTTTTCAGCCCTTTTTAGAGTTCACAAAAGCTACAGATGTGCATGACATATGTCTCCTACGAGACCGTAATTGCCATGAGTGCAGAGTCCACTCAGCAGACACATCCTGAGGACCAGGATGTGAGAAATAAGAGAGTAGATTATGAATAGAAAGTAGTGGAAAAAGTTAGCAAAATAATTTTATTGCTGTTGATGTTTTTTACTATTAGGAGAAGAAAAAAGGAGTTCAAATCTTTAGCTTAAATAGAGCTATCCTGTGGAGGGACTAAAAAATCAGTTTAAAGTATTATTCACAATTCATTAATACAATCATTAATTACAAAATTAAAAAGTGATAAGTAGATAGATGTTAATTTCCCCAAACTATGAAAGTGACCACATAGTCATACAATGAATGATTAAGTAACTTGGTATGCCTGTCCAACTACAGGACCTCAGGTATTCTATTTTCATTTTTCTGAAATAAAATTACGTTTCTTGAAATTCAACAGCAGAATAAAAACATACTGCGTAGCTAGCTCTTAGCTTCATCTCCATTTTTGATCATGGATAGTTATTAATCACATCACTACTATGGCATATGTATTCACATTCAAACACTAAGCCTGGCCCACCAGAACCTCTAAAAACAGATCTAGTCTATTGTTGCAATTGTGTAATATTTTACAACTCTCTTTCTTCCACTCAATTCATTTTTTTTCAAAGAGCTCGCTTTAATCAGGCCCAGTTTAATTCTTTGTTTACTTATCTTGGAGGAAGGAC